CTCACCAACACCGGGGGCTCCTCACCAACATCGGGGGCTCCTCACCAACACCGGGGCTCCTCACCAACACCGGGGGCTCCTCACCAACACCGGGGGCTCCTCACCACCCGGGGGCTCCTCACCAACACCGGGGGCTCCTCACCAACACCGGGGCTCCTCACCAACACCGGGGCTCCTCACCAACACCGGGGCCCCTCACCACCACCGGGGCTCCTCACCAACACCGGGGGCTCCTCACCACACCGGGGCTCCTCACCAACACCGGGGGCTCCTCACCACACCGAGGCTCCTCACCAACACCGAGGCTCCTCACCACACCGGGGCCCCTCACCAACACCGGGGCTCCTCACCAACACCGGGGCTCCTCACCAACACCGGGGCTCCTCACCAACACCGGGGCTCCTCACCAACACCGGGGGCTCCTCACCAACACCGGGGGCTCCTCACCAACACCGAGGCTCCTCACCAACACCGGGGCTCCTCACCAACACCGGGGGCTCCTCACCAACACCGGGGCTCCTCACCAACACCGGGGCTCCTCACCACACCGGGGCTCCTCACCACCACCGGGGGCTCCTCACCACACCGGGGGCTCCTCACCAACACCCCGGGGCTCCTCACCACACACCCCCAGGCTCCTCACCAACACCGGGGCTCCTCACCAACACCGGGCTCCTCACCACCACACCGGGGGCTCCTCACCAACACCGGGGGCTCCTCACCAACACCGGGCTCTCCTCACCAACACCGGGGCTCCTCACCACACCGGGGCTCCTCCCTCACCAACACCGGGGCTCCTCACCACCACACCGGGGCTCCTCACCACACCGGGCTCCTCACCAACACCGGGGCTCCTCACCAACACCGGGGCTCCTCACCAACACCGGGACTCCTCACCAACACCGGGGGCACCTCACCAACACCGAGGCTCCTCACCAACACCGGGGCTCCTCACCAACACCGGGGCTCCTCACCAACACCGGGGGCTCCTCACCACACCGGGGCCCTCACCAACACCGGGGCTCCTCACCAACACCGGGGCTCCTCACCAACACCGGGCTCCTCACCAACACCGGGGCTCCTCACCAACACCGGGGCTCCTCACCAACACCGAGGCTCCTCACCAACACCGGGGCTCCTCACCAACACCGGGGCCCTCACCACACCGGGGGCTCCTCACCACACCGGGCCCCTCACTCAACACCGGGGCCCCCCTCACCAACACCGGGGCTCCTCACCAACACCGGGGCTCCCCTCACCAACACCGGGCTCCTCCTCACCAACACCGGGGGCTCCTCACCACACCGGGGGCTCCTCACCAACACCGGGGCTCCTCACCACCACCGGGGCTCCTCACCACACCGGGCTCCTCACCAACACCGGGGCTCCTCACCAACACACGGGGCCTCCTCACCACCACCAGGGGCTCCTCACCAACACCGGGGCTCCTCACCACCACCAGGGGCTCCTCACCAACACCGGGGCTCCTCACCAACCACCGGGGCTCCTCACCACCACCAGGGGCTCCTCACCAACACCGGGGCTCCTCACCACCACCGGGGGCTCCTCACCAACACCGGGGCTCCTCACCAACACCGGGGCTCCTCACCAACACCGGGGCTCCTCACCAAAAACGGGGCTCCTCACCAACACCTGGGCTCCTCACCACCACCGGGCTCCTCACCAACACCGGGGCTCCTCACCAACACCGGGGCTCCTCACCACCACCGGGGCTCCTCACCAACACCGGGGCTCCTCACCAACACCGGGGCTCCTCACCAACACCGGGGCTCCTCACCAACACCGGGGCTCCTCACCAACACCGGGGGCTCCTCACCAATACCGGGGCTCCTCACCAACACCGGGGCTCCTCACCAACACCGGGGCTCCTCACCAACACCGGGGCTCCTCACCACCACCGGGGCTCCTCACCAGCGAACATGACACCAACGCATGTTTACCCTCCTCCTCCTCCTCCACACATGTTCACCAACCCTAACACAACCCTACACATGAAAAGCAGTGAAAGTGAGATCCCGTGCCCCCCCCACCCCCCCCCCTCCATGAAAACCCATGCTATAAATAGCGTCAGTGTTACGCTGCTCCAACTTTGACTAATACGTCACATTTTAAACATATTGGTGGAGCTTGCTGAATATTTTATGTGTGAGGTGGGGGGCGGGGGGGGGCGTCTCTCCCTCCCTGCCCCCCCTCCCTCGGTAATATGTAATTTATCCACCTCATCATGACTATTTTCTGGCAGACTTGCTCAGGATATGGAGGCGGGGTGAGGGGGAGCTGTTGGTGCTGGCACTATGTATATATATACGTGACACACCTACATGAATATATATATACACATAAACTGCCGCTATAAGATCCTGGATAATAACAAGTTGTTATTTGATTAGGATTCGTTATTATCCACAACATTGCGGTTTGTTATTTATATGAGTGAGAAGTGGTGCCCCCTGGGGTCAGGTGGTGCCCCCTGGGGTCAGGTGGTGCCCCCTGGGGTCAGGTGGTGCTCCCCTGGGGTCAGGTGGTGCCCCCTGGGGCCAGGTGGTGCTCCCCTGGGTCAGGTGGTGCCCCCTGGGGTCAGGTGGTGCCCCCTGGGGTCAGGTGGTGCCCCTGGGGAGTCAGGTGGTGCTCCCCCCTGGGGTCAGGTGGTGCCCCCCTGGGGTCAGGTGGTGCCCCCCTGGGGTCAGGTGGTGCCCCCTGGGGTCAGGTGGTGCCCCCTGGGGTCAGGTGGTGCTCCCCTGGGGTCAGGTGGTGCCCCCTGGGGTCAGGTGGTGCTCCCCTGGGGTCAGGTGGTGCCCCCTGGGGTCAGGTGGTGCCCCCTGGGGTCAGGTGGTGCTCCCCTGGGGTCAGGTGGTGCTCCCCTGGGGTCAGGTGGTGCTCCCCTGGGGTCAGGTGGTGCCCCCTGGGTCAGGTGGTGCCCCCCTGGGGTCAGGTGTGCTCCCCTGGGGTCAGGTGGTGCTCCCCTGGGAGGGTCAGGTGGTGCTCCCCTGGGGTCAGGTGGTGCCCCCCTGGGGTCAGGTGCCCCCCTGCTCCCCTGGGGTCAGGTGGTGCTCCCCTGGGGTCAGGTGGTGCTCTCCTGGGGGTCAGGTGGTGCTCCCCTGGGGTCAGGTGGTGCCCCCCTGGGTCAGGTGGTGCCCCCTGGGGTCAGGTGGTGCTCCCTGGGTCAGGTGGTGCTCCCCTGGGGTCAGGTGGTGCTCCCCTGGGGTCAGGTGGTGCCCCCTGGGGTCAGGTGGTGCCCCCTGGGGTCAGGTGGTGCCCCCGGGGT